TATTAGTAGTCTTTAAGCTGTATACAAACAGCGTTCCTGTTGTTCGCTTTTAGGCGAATGATGTCACGTGTTTTTATGCACGCTACAGAGACCTTTAAGATTTCGTATTTTGCTAATGTTGTCTCGAGCTTTTGAAGAAAAAAGAAATTGTCTCCGCCTTAACAGTAGGTGGACTCAAGCAGTGCATAGGCCTTTTCTGAGATAGTGGTTTGCATTGCATTGCATTGTGGTCTAGGTTCAGTACAAACATCTTTTGTTAATGCTGCCACATATGGCGTAGTTGTTTGTACTGAAGCTAGACCAAAATGCACTATGATTTTGTATTTAAGAAAAAGTCTATGGACTATCGTCGATTTATTTTTAAAATCCTATAGCTTTGCTTGCATATATTATATAATATTTTACAAATTGCGAATGGTTTTGAGTTATGTGTCCCTTATTGTCACACTCTTGTTAAAAAAAATGTTCAAAATGCAAAATTCATAAGAACATCGAGTTGGTCCAAAAAACAAAACAAAAACGTGTGAAATTTGGTTTTAACACGTATACGTTTTTATTCTGAAGATCATATTTGAAACTTACACATTGAAGTCTATATCATTTTTGATAGTTTTATTATTTAGTTAATTATTGTTTGTAATATTCTTAATTGTTTATTGATATTTTGTATCCTATGTATCAATTGGTATAGAAAGGATTATTATTAAGGATTATTAAAGTTATTATTATTTTGCTCCATATATATCGCAACAGTGAATATCATGTTCGGCTTGAGGTGAATATGATGTGAATATAGACCTCGAAATTCACACCATATTCACACACATGCAGTGAAATCATTTTTTCGTGCAGTGTGTTGCTTTCAACCTCGTGAGCGCTCGAGGCATGGTGATGTCAGCACTGTTTATATGTCCTCTTATTCATACAGTCAGCCAATCAGTGCGCGATATAATTCACCCAAGTGTTGTAAAATTTAAAATTGTAAAGTTGAAGTAAACAGATAAGATCAATACAATAATACAATATATGAAAAAAATGATTAACATTTTAATGTCATTATGTAAAGACATAACAATCAATAACACTCGAGATATGTACCTCGTGATATAGCGGCGGCCCGCTACGCTGTGTTTTTAGAAAAGCAAAGTTTTTTAGAAATACTCTTATTAAAATTAATCAAAGAGCTATCCCTTATATCCGTTCCTTGCATTATATCTACATTGCGTGTTATATAGACCAATAGACGACCGTCTAACATGTCAAATGCACGACCCACCATCCA